TTGAAAAAAATGAAAGCCGCTTACAACTCCCTGTAACGCCGAATTGGAGCGCAGCTCTTGAGGAGGAGGAGGGAAGGGTACTGAGGGGTGGGTAAACCCCTCCTTTCTCCTCCTCCCCTCGCGGCGGTCACGTGACCTGGGGGGGAGCGTCACATGACCTGGGGGGTCACGTGACCTGGTGCGTCACGTGATCTGTGGGGGTCACGTGACCTTACGGTTACGCCGACGGCAACGCCGCTCAAACCGAAAACGGGCGCCTAAGAGATGCGCTCTAATATATATGTGCAGGCAGAATGACTGGTTGCAGAGGCATGCCGATCTCATGCGGCACCGAGCGCACAGATCACGTATCAACAGTGAGATGCGGAAATCACCGAGTTGAGTTCACCTGCCTATACCATATGCATGGACGAAGCTGTGTATACTGGGAGAATCTAACATTCATTTGAACATGCCGACAGTCTAGCAACCACGTCTGGGACTCTGGAAAACAGGAAAGGGGATGTCACTACCGAAATATTGTGTTATCAAATTTCAAACCCACTCTGACCAAGGCGCATAGAATTCAGCGACGTGTCATCGCAATGAAAGATTTTTTCTTTTTGATGTAACCGTGTTTCGCGCCCTACACGAAATCAACAGCTTAAGTTTCCTTAAAGGGACACTGACACCCCCCCAAAATTTTTTTTTTATTTTTTGCCAGGCGTTTTATTATGGTGTCGGAGGACTACCCAATTAATATTTTGCAACAGAGTAGCGTATTTTTTTAATAAAGCCAAAAGACGCAACTGCTCGAAACCGAAACCGAAACCCGACGGAGGTCGGAGAAGTGCAGAGAAGAGAGTGAGTGGCGGAAGTCACGTGACTACACCCGACCGCGCGTTTTTTTTTTTTTTTTTTTTTCCTCCGTAGCAGACGACACGACATGCGGCGTGCAATGCGGCGTGCGGGAACTGCTCGCCGTGCGATTCTTTTGCAGTTATGTTTGTTCCGCCCGTTGTTCTGTACTCCAAGATGAGTTGTTTTGTACATTGAGGAGTTGGAGATGAGTAGTGAGAGCCCGTGGTGAATTTCCATGATCGGGTCCGAAAAAAATACACCCAAGATGTTGCGTGAAGAGCTGGCTCTCATTTCCTGCATCCGAAAAAAAGTGGCATTGTGCGACCGAGTTTCCGAAAGATCAACGGGATCGGGACCAATGGCTGGCTGCAATTCCTGTAGAACATATACGGGCACCTCGGAAAGCGGACGCTACCTGATTTATATGCCCCTTGCATTTTGTCGAAAGTGATTACATTGAGTTCGCAGGTGTCAAAACGGAAATCCCATACCATTTAATTCAGCGAAGTATCGTCCACAACATTTGTTTGTTATTTTTTTTTTTTTGTTTCTTCAGTGATGATTGTAAAAAGAGAAAAAGATATGTAAACATCGAAAAATGTTCGAGAAAAAAAAATAAAAAAATAAAGTTTCACGGCGGATCGAACCCGGTCCTACCGCGTGTGAACCGGACGTCTTTCCCACTGAGCTACTGGGGCATCTTTTTTTTTTTTTTTTTTTTTATTCTGTAAGTCGGAAAGTTTGCTGCCGATTTTCCTCTAGCTAAAGCGCTCCCGGGTCGAAGTCGGGAAGCACCACGCTTTGGGGACATTCGCACCTAGTAAAGAAATCGTACGCGTGCATATTCAACTCGAAGTAGACACGTCGTGCTTGACGTTTGCGCGAGCGATGTCTTCAGCCACGAGAAGGGAGCGGCGGCTCGGCGACGTCTTCGTGCAAATCAGCTTGGTGGCCGGCCGGGCGTGTCGTTTGGGATGAATACCAATTCTTTTGATCAGTCCCAAATTTCTCTTTTAACGGTAGACAGAATTCGCCGGTACCGCGAACGACAGCTCTGAAATAGAGGTCCCACGCCCGTCGTCCGCTGCCATCGCCGTCCCCGCGAGTCCCACGATACGCGAAACGACGAACGCACAGAATGCTCCCGGTTGTCTGTGGAACTTTTTTTTCAATCAACGTATTTACAGCTTTTTAGAAGCCATAAAAAATGGGTTTCATATTTTTTTCTATTTTTAATATTGAGTGTGTGCCTTCAGTGACCCACGACTTTGATTAAATTTGGTGGTCGCATCGATACCTTAGAAAACGGCCCGTGACCGCGAAAAAGAGAGTGAACGAGACTCGAACCGGCCAGTTCTCGATCGGCGGTTTTCGGGCGGAAAGAAACCGAATTTCGAGCCGCAAATTCTGTTCTGGGTAGTTAAGCTCTCATATGTCACGTACAACTAAAAACCTCGGCGAGCATAAATACTCTGTCAGTGTCCCTTTAACTGCTAACAACTCATAGAAGTACCAAATGTCTCAAATAGAGGCCAAGCTCTTTAAATCGACCGGAAAATTCGGTTTCTTCATCCATCGCGTTACGATTTTGTGCAACGTTGCCCACAGGTGGTGCATTTTTTCTATAAAATTTGCAAAGAGCGAACTTACCTGAGGGAAAAGTAAAAAAAAAAAGGCTTAACTGTAATGGAAACGCAGCGAAGCCACCGGTCTTCAAACAGTAGGGCGCCCTATTGATTGAAGACCGGTGGCTTCGCCGGGAACGGTGGGCTCGGGGATCGGTGGCCGAGTGGGATGGCGCGCACCAGCCCGGAGCACGTGGGCAGAAAGCTCGCGCTGCAGAACCCAGGTATCCTGGGTTCAATCCCCCCCTGCCCGTTTCGATCTGGATGAACATCGTACCGGCTTGCGGTCGTCTACCACTACTGCGTGCGCGTTAAAGACCCCAGGCTAGCGGTTGTACGGCGTGGGTAAATTGCTCAATCACAGCTAGTGACTCGTCGCAACTTTGAATGCCACTGACCAACACGCTGTATAAATGTTCACACAACCCCAATGATTAATATCTGCGCTCCGCATTGGTTACATTGGGTCGTAGCTTCGTCTGCAGCGTGCACGGGTTACATATATGTGAAACGGAGTATATGCCTGCGTGACCGAATAACGACATTCATACTGTGATGCGAGCGGTTAAGTACTCAAAAATGCTTCATACACTCAGAGGCCGTCGAATCCACGAAAACGACGCCTCTTCCGAGCCTTGAGGGTTAATGGGTTTATTAGCGACGTAAACAAACAAAAGCGGGCCACGCTCGAGTGGTTAACCATGCATGCTCAAACGAGCATATGCATGCTGCCATTCCACAGGTGAGCCCGAGGGCTGCGGTGTGCGCACCGTTCCACGATACGAGGTAATACCATTTAATGGCACTCATCTCGGATTAAGGGCTCTTCAAAGAGGAAACAGCTCGCAGGTCTATTAACGTGCACGAGGCGAGGTGTTATTACTTCGAGGTATTACCATGGCTCGCGTTGATTTACAACTCTGGCCCCTCTCTTGTGTTCTTGTTGTTGGTGCTGGCGTTGTTGCGTTTGATGCAGACAGGAAGCTGTAAGTCGGCAAATAATTTTCAGACATATAATAAACTCGTGTCTTATATTTACGTGTATAAAACGAGAAAAGACACACGACTGGACTGAGGCGGTGTCGACATGCCGCGTGTGTTAAATGGATTGCCGGCCGTCGGGTTTCTGAACGTTGCAAGCTAAGATTTGTACAGAGGTGGCCAATGATTCTGGATTTGTTGTATTATAGTTCTAAGAAATAGGCTTACATACATTTCAAAAAGAAAATCATGAGCGTAAGTTTGCTACTGATGGCGGCCGTCTGCAAATGAAAGGCGTCTTGGGGTCTTGGGGACACAACAGCCGAGACATTGAGGCAGCTGTTGACATATAGAGTTAAAATAGCCCGACAAGAGTCCTTCTAGTTCGTCTTGTGTTCATTTTTCATGTTTAATCCCCCAATACAAATTACAAAACTATTTACTGCATCGAACAGTGAGACGGCGTGACATAGTTTGCGGCTCAACATTGCATGCACTAAATAATATCTTCATAACAATTCGCAGAGATAAATGTTCCGAATGTTCATTATATAGAACAGTTCATATCATCCAACACGTCATCTGTGTCTGCGGAGAGCACAGAATCGAAAGTACCGCACTAAAGGCTCGCATTAAGGTAATGGAGAAAGAACGGGTGGATTCGAAACTTTCGATTAGACCCCGGTCTTCTGCAACGAATGGCTACATAGCCACAAAAGCTATTTTACGCTCCATAAAAACGATATATCTTCAGCGAACACTTTAGGGCACTGAAGTATGTTTCAAAGTGAAATGACCCAAGGTAAGTGAGCACATAAGCGTGTAGGTGTGTTCATGTTTTTTCTTTTTTCTTGTATTGGTTATATGTTCTATTTTTGTTTCTCTATCTCCCTTTTTTTTATCTTTTTGCTACCATTGTCTATACTATTCTTTCTTGTTCTTTGTTCTCTTTTCCTTTCAAAGCCTAAAAATTTGACACAGAGTGCTCGTTGACTATAGCTGTATTAAAAAATGCATGTCACTCTCTGAAAAAATCACTTCCCCACCATGCATGCAGTCTGGCAAATCTGAGCGTTTATTGGTGCCAGAAATCCCACTCCACGGGTAAAAGAGTTAACCTATCGCGATTTAAATTCCGCTTTATTGGTGTCCCAATCAATCATTTCTCCGCGAAGCAATCGCCCCAAGCTCATGCCGCCGTGCATACGGCCAGCTTACAATTTAAGTACTTCGCCTATAAACAGAACCCGGAGTTCAGCGTACTCTTGAATGAAAAAGAGAAAAGGATGGTCAAGGTGAAACTTGAGGCTTCTGAGTTTTGGATGAGGCGACAAAAGGGTTCCATTTTCGCTCACCGCCCCTTTGTGCCTCAAGTCCGCAACGACCACGGCACCCCTCGCAGAGATCCCCCCCCCCCCCCCCCCCCCCCCCCGCGTTCAGCTCAAAGTTGGGAAGATGGATTTGAACTCGCTTCCGTCGATGCTTCTTGCGGAGCTTTTTGCAAATCTTTTCCAGCTCGTCGGCGCAGAGCTTTTTCTTAAGATGAGGAAAGTCCTACCTCTTGTGGAGCAGGAGACTGCAGCGGCCACCTCTGTAACGCAATTTGGCGGCTTGAGACTTGGGGCTGCGAAGGGCGACGTGACTCAACTTGGCAACGCTACGCATCGTTTCCACCGGATGAGTTTGGCTTCTGTAATCGCAGAAGGGGAGAAGTGTGCCCCTTGAAAGGTCCAACGCATAGTACCAGGTACCTTTGAAGTATAGATAGCGTTCAACAGAAGCAGCAGGACGTTTCTGCATGCCCATGTCCTCGTTGATCATCTTCGGGGCCATGCCGTTCGTCTTAGCTTTAACCCAATCGTTGATCTGAGACGTCACTCCATTGTAACTATAAGTGAAATCGACAGAGCAAAGCCAACCGTTAAATGTCCGAACCCGGTCTTTCTTGTAGCCGTCAAGAACGCTGAACGATTCATCGATCAGAGCAGCGTTGGCAATACCAGGGCTGCACCGGGTGACTGAAAGTCTGCCAGGGACTATTTATAAGCCCTCATCACTTTGTCTCTCGTATTGAGGCCTACTTTTGCATAGTCCAAAACATTGGAAAGTTGTTTCTCGGACTTGCCTCCTGCGCCGGCGTAGACCATCCCCACGGCTGCGGATATGCCGGCTAGAGAGAACAAGATGTTTCTTTTCCCATTGTGTCCAGCAGGAGACAGTTCCCTAAGAAGTTTCAAACCGAACCGAAATTCCGCTTTTGGTATCCTGCGGTTGTAGTGCTGCGTCTTGACGTGGCTCCCGGCAGCCAGTGCTACTGTCCATAGCAGAAGCAATGTTGCGGCAGACATATGTGGAGCAAGAGTGTAGGTGTCGAATTTCTTGCGCTTATAAATACAACTGGCGTCTTATATACGCGTGTTGATTACACCAGAGGGAAGAGGAGACTATTGATGCGAGGTGCATTCAGCGTTCCTTGCTTGTTGCCTTGGGACTGTGATTAACCTGCCACAGAGCGTAGACTATTGAATGCGCAACTCGCATGGAGTTGTCATAAGCTTTCGACTTTTATGACTCGAAACCTGTACATTGGAAGCGTTTTCGATATTGCGTTCAATCAAGTCAATCAACCGCCATTGTCGTGTGATTTGTTGGCTCTTCGGCCACCAGGTGTTGGTTTAATGTAGAGTTTGTATCGGGCTCTGCGAACATCGTATCGGAGAATTTTTTAAACTGACCATTATGCTCGAAGAAATGAGAGTTTGAGTGTTCAGATTTCTCCGTATTTATCAAAAAGCATCTAAAATTATCTGCCAAAATTGTGTTTCTGAATTTTTTTTTTCCAAAAAGTTTGATATATGTAAATATTAGCAGCCTCAGAAAAAATAATACGTATTTTATTAGTTCTGCATTGGCTTGATGACTCACCTACTGCGTCCGTGCAATCACTACTAAATAGTGATTGCACGTGAAGAGTGTGTTGCAATGTATGTGTATGTATGTATTTCTGGCGGCAATTGCCCTTTTTAACGAGCGTCTATAAAATAGACATGCCATTAAAGAAAAGAAGATAAAGAGAAAGATAATGAAAAGGAACTAGAAAAGTCTGAGAAATGGTTCGTAGGCACTCTGAAGTATCACGAGTGGACTTTCCACCATGCCTCGAGCCTTCTCTTTGAGCACATCACATGTTTGTTCTCTTCCGTAAAACCGAGGGCCTGCTCAATGCGGGTGCCGACGTCTGTCGCAGGTACGATTGCCGGACACTCAAGGAGCAAATGTTGGATAGTTTCTTCTACCTCACCACATGCACTGCACACGGTTTCGGTCACGTTCACATCGTACCGATGCCTGTAGATGCGGGTGCGTAAGGCACCACCGCGGGCCTCGGCAAGGAGTCGGCTGCCCAGTGTATTTCCACACCAGCGGACGGCAGCGATGTTGGTCTTGAAAGTCGCGTATAGGTGCATGCTGGAATGTTCTTCCATGTCGGCTCTCCGCCGATTCGTCTCGGCGGTGTTAATTTGTCCTCTCACCTTCGCAACCCAATCTTTCTTTGTAGAGGGCTCGTCGCTCATCGAGAAGGCGCCGTACTTTGTCCCAAGTCGATTGGTACGCCTCCTCCATGTAGTGTGTAGGTTCTTTAAATGAATGTATAAAAAAACCCTTCGTGCCCAGCGATCTCCGTCCATATGTCGCAGTCGGGCGTAATACTCCAGCTTGCTGCTGGCCTCCCGTGCCTCAAACGAGGACCAGCCAAGGTCACCTTGTACAAGTTGATTAGGCACTCTCCCGTGACATCCCAGCGCCTGGCGCCCAATCTCTCTTTGTCGTCGTTCAAGGTATTCCCTAATTTCGCTGGGGACAATCCTCTGACAAGCGTTTTTTATGTTGTGAGAGAACTCGTGAGTGTACGGAATGGTAAGAAATTTCTTGGGTGTTTCTGTTTCTTTTTCACTCTTCGGAGGGCTTGGTTTTCTATTTAGGCTGTCCTCATAATTAGGACATTACTTTATCTTTGATGATGAGATAGCCGACTTAATAATTCCATTTTTAACTGTCTTCGAATGCGAGCTTTCAAACGGAAGTAGAGGTTTATTTGTTCTCTGCTTGTAGGTACGGCAGGTTTCTGTTTCTTTGCTTTTTTTTTTATTTTTGTGTCTAGGAAGTGTGGACCATCTTCGTTTCCTGTGTCTTCAGTGAAGTGTAAACCTAACATTCGTTAGGTTTAGCTCGCATTCAAAGACAGTTAAACAAGGAATTATTAGGTCGGTCATCTCATCATCACTGAGAAAGTCGTGTCCTCACCATGGGGAGGACAGCCAAAAGAACCAAGCCCTGCGACTAGGGAGCACAAGGTACCCCACAGACCTAGTAAAAATGGTGGCCTTTAGGCTATTAGCAGACAAGGAAAGTGAAAAGGAAACAAAAAAAGACACAAGAAGTTTCTTACCAATCCGTGCAATCACGTGTTCTCTCAACACATAAAAAAAACTGTTGTCAGAGGATTGCAGAACACTCTTCACGTGAAAGAACAAAAATCATACAAAAAGTTAATGGAGAAGATAGCCTAGAAAAGAAATAAGAAAAGAAACACAAAGAAAAATTTGTAACATGCGAAGAGAGGATAGAATACTCGATTTCCCTGTCTCGCGGCAAGACTTACATTGTGCAGACAGGACGGTGCCTAAATGATAGATTAGAAGAACACAAATATAAGATTTCAGTAACAGGAAAACCACCCCTAAAAGCGCACGTGAATAGCTGCGAGGGATGTAGGCCCATCTTTAACGAGGCGGCGGCTATCAAAAAGTACCCTGACCGGTTGGGACGAGAAGTAGTCGAGGTCTTCCTCATACAGAGAAGCGACAACAATGTGAGCTACAAATCCCTTAAATTGAGCAGAAAGGAGGAAAGGTTTCTCGAGAAGGAGATAGGGAGCCTCTAAATACTTTACTTTACTCAAAGTATTTGGAGCCTCGATTGGGGGGGGGGGGGGGGGGGGGGGGGGGGGGAGAGAGAGATGAGCGTGGCCTTGAGTCGGTAGGGGCGCTGTCAAGATCACGTACGCTATGCACGCCTGAAGTATGAGAGAATAAACTTGTTGCGAGTTGAACGTTGAACGCTGTCCGTGTCTGACGTGTTTTTTTGTGTGTCCCTTTCTTCTTTTGCGTTCACATACCACGATGTTTAACCAACACGCTCTCCTAATTCTATGTAGGATGTATCCGTTGAAAGGCCATTAAGTTTGTGTTGTTGAAAAGTACGTCTTGCAGAAAAAAAAACTATACTTCATTTCACCTTATGTCTAGACGCAAACCACGCTACGAGATGATGGGGCCCATCAGTCCGCGTGGTGTTCGTCATGTTTGATTACGTGTTCTATCATCGCCGAAGTAATCATAAAATAATTGGGGTGTGTGTATGTTTATACAACCTAGAACTTGGTCTGCCTTAACGGGCGACTTGTCTCACAGCTGTAGATGAGCAATTTAGCCAGTCCGCTAGCCTGGGGTCTATAACGTGCACCACGCAGTGGTGATACACGACCGCACGCCGGTACGATGTTCATCCAGATCGGATAGGAATGGAGATTGAACCAAAACCATTCATACACAAAAAATACGCAGTGATTTGCGAATTTCACGCTGCTTGATGGGTATTATTAGCTCGTAGCATCCACTGCTTCTGGACTTGAGCTGAAGGGAAGCATAGGCTGAAATCTGGCTACACTGCGCTTCAAGATTTGCAACACAAATTCCTTTCCGACCAATCGAGTGTGTCTATTACAAACATACACAACTCGACACTTTTAGCGCGAACGAGTGATCACTTGGTAGAAAGCCGTTTCATAGGGGGCACCGTCCCTACGTATTAAGATTTAATGCCTGCTAATAATACTCTTTTAAAGTAATCTGCCAAAAACAAAAATGCACCACAGTCGTGTTTGCGTTGAGGGGACACTGACAGGGTATTTATGCTCTCCAAGGTTTTTATTTGTTCATGACATACGAGAGCCCAACTACCCAGAATACAATTTGCGGCTGCTCGAAATTTGCTTTCTTTCCGCCCCGAAAACCGCCGATCGAGAACTGGCCGTTTTGAGTTGCGCTCACTCTCTTCTCTTTGGTCACGTGCCGTTTTCTATGGTTTAGACACAATAACCAAAGTTAATCAAAGTCGCGGGTCATTGAAGGCACACACTCAAAACTAAAAATAGGCTGAAAATATGACACCCATTTTATGTGGCTTCTAAAAGGTTGCAAATACGTTGATTGAAAAACAAAGTTGCACAGCCACGTGTTTTCCGAAAAATTTCTCCTCTATATTTCTTTTTCCTCCACAGTCCGGTTTCGGTTTCGAGCTGTGGCATCATTTTTACTTCATTAAAAACATATGTGACGCTGTAGCGAAATATTGATTGGGTGGTCTCTCTTCAACAATTGTAAATCGTCGGCAAAATAAAAAAAATTATGGGGGTGTTAGTGCTCCTTTAACATGTCACGCAGCGTACCTTCTTCGCACGTGAAGGGTAGCACATTTTCCCTTGCCTCTAGTGTAGCATGCGAAGATGAATTGCGCTACCCTTCAACTGAGAATAATGTGCACTATATGCATTTCAGGAGCGAATGCCGACGCAACGCTCGCGTCCCGCCCCTGCCTCAGTAATGTTTCCAGTACCGCTTCCTTCCACTAGATGCACAACATTTTGTACCTGAATGTGACTAGATGTTTGATGGACGACGAATACAGTGCTGATTGTTACAGTGATGAGCTGCATTTCGAACGATTATGAAAGATAAGAGGTTGGGGAGGCTACCGCTGTATAATTCTGTGCGATAAGTTCTACACTGGTTTATGCTCGCTCTCGGCGCTCTGAGCTTCGCTAAACTACGGATGAACAGACGGACAACGAGGCCCCCCTTCCGAACAATACTTTTGTTTATATTATATATATACCGTGACGCTTCTGTGCTTTAGTAATTTAGTTTACTTTTGTTCTGCTGTCTAAGTGCCCTCCTGTGTTTGATTACTCACGTTAAAAAAAAAAGTAATACACTAAACGTATTCCAATTTTGCACTCTCAGGACGAGTACCTACGAGTACCAAAAAGAGTACGTATTAGACGTACTCTTTTTGGTAAGCGCACCTCTGCCAGGGCGGATCGATGTGCGGGTAAAGCGTCAAAACACGAAGCAGACTAAGAGTAAATTAAAAGTATTCTTCCGATATTGAAAGTACGAGTATATAGTTTATGATTACTCTTTTTGTTTCACAAAAATACACATTAGCATAGATTTATTTGTATTGCTTTTTCCGAAGAGTACAGGTTGCCTCAACTTGTTTTTCC